CGGGTGGGGCGGGGGATTGGTTTGGGGGGGGTGAGTAAGAGGATGAGATTCGGGTGAGAGAGGGAGACAAATACGGGCGCAAGGGGCCCAACCAGAAGGACAGCTGCACTGCACTGCAGCTGGGAGCAGAGAAGGCAGACTGAATACAACACGGACAACTTTGCAGCTGAGCACGGGGGCAAGCAGCTCGCTTCAATGGCACCAACGGCTTCAGCACTCTGCCTGGGAAAGCAGCCGCCACCCCCGAGCCCCGTTGTGCCCCAGCTGAAAACTGCCGCACCCTGACCCTGTTCGTGCCGCCACCCACCCACACCCATTGACCAGCCCACCTGCACGTACACCTTGCTGGGGCCGTCCCTGCTGAACGCCACGTGCAGGCCGCTGATCACGCCCGCCGCCAGGTGGCCCTCCAGCGTGTCGCGGTAGATGTAGTCCTCGCCGGCGGAGCGGCAGCCGAAGAACAGCAGCGCGGGGCCCAGCTGGGCGCCGCCCTGCAGCAGGGCAGCACGCTCCTGCATGAAGCCGCACATCGGCGCCAGGCCTTGCAGGGAGGAGGGGGTATGGCGGACGGGGCGCATGTCGGCGCGCAAAATGGTGGTGTTGGCTGACAGGCGCGCACCCATTGTTGCTGGCGTGTCAAGTCCACATGACAGGCGGGGCCCAGCAGCATATGCCCTGAGTGCCACACACCACACGAATGTACTGCCCACTGCAGCCCCCTCCTCACCCGTGCCAGGGCCAATCATGATGATGGGCGTGGTGGGGTCCTTTGGCAGCTTGAAGGTGCTCTGCAGGCAGCGCACCGTGCCCAGTAGGTGCCGCCCCACGGGCTGCGAGTGGATGAGCCCACTGCTGGCGCCCCTGTGGGGCCGCCCCGTGGGGGTCGTGAAGGCCACCAGGCCCACTGTGATGGAGCAGCGCCGCGGGTCCGCCCTGGGGCTGGAGGATATGGAGTAGTAGCGCGGCGCCAGGCGCGGCAGTGCGTTCACCAGCTCCGGCAGGCTGGTGGGCACGCTCCTGAATCGGGACAGCAGCTCCACAAGCGTCAGCTTCGGGCCTGACACTCCCGCGCTGTACCCCTCCTCAGACGCCAGGCGCCGCAGCGCAGCCGCCTCTGGCGGGCAGGGGCACGCCTCCGCCAGCTGCGCCACCAGCTTGCGGCTCGGCACGGTGCTCAGGTCCACAAACCACTGGAGCGCCCCCCGCGCATGCACCTTGATCTTCAGGCCGGGCATGAGGTCCCCCAGCGCGGGCGGCGGCTTAAGGCCGGAGCCGATGCCACGCGCGGCGCCGTCCTTGCTGCCGGCCGTCCACAGGAAGGGCTCGTCCCCGCGCAGGCCCAGCAGCTGCAGCGCAGCTTCCACCAGGGAGGGGCAGTTGACCGGGACGACCTGGCAGCGCAGCGGCGTTACGAGGGACGGGGTCGTGTGGCTCGGGTGGCACATCGGAGGCAGGGCGGTGCTATCGCTGTGGCCTCAGGCAAAATTTGGTGGCGGCCGATGCATGCGCCCGTATCAAAGGCAATGCTGGCAACCAGGGCCGTGCCGGCACGAGCGCCGCCATGGTGTGGTTTTTGGCACCCAAAGATTACCGATTGGCCAGTCCACGCCCTGATCAGGGGAGATCTAAACCAAAACACACCTCCAGGTGGTCTCCCGCGGAGTAGGTCATGCCCTCTGGCAGCTCAAGCTCCACGTGGGCCGTGGCGCGGCCACTGTCGGCGGGCAGCAGCTGGCGCGACTCCAGCACCTGCGGGGGCGCGGGTTGAGGGGATAAGGATGATAGGAGACAAGCTCAGGTGTATGGTTATGAGGCCATGAGCAGCATGCACGAAAGGCAGCTAGACGGGTGTGCTGCACATCTCCGGCGTATACTGCACCGCACATTGAATCAAGGGCTCTATGTGCCCCAAGGGTACCGGCAAGCAACACAATTGTTGATTGCGAGTCAAAATCGATCCGCACCTTCAGGGGGTGAAGGAAGCTGTTGGTGTTGCCGTTGGTGGGGATATGCCCCCTCATCTTCGTCAGGACGTCCAGGTCACCAGGCCCGGTCAGCTCAAAAGCAATCTCACCGCCGTTGGACTCATCGAACGGCCGGATGTCGACACGCGGCCGCGGCGCCGCCGCCGCGGCCGCCGCCGCGCCTGTTGGGCTTGCAACACCGAACGCGCTGAGCGCCGCGGCGACCAGCGAGTCGCTCCACTCGTCAAAGGCATCCGTCACGCCGGCCTGGTCGACGTCCACAGAGGACAACGGCAGCAGCGCCGCCGCACCGGCTGCGGTCAGCAGGCCGTCCACTCTCTTGGGGAAGGCCTGGAACGTGGCGGCCCACTGGCTGTTTCCCACGCCAAACACCGCGTAACGCACGCCCGCCTGGCTGCCCGGCGCCGCGGCGCCCAGCCACTTGCTGAAGGCAACCGCGTTGTCAGGCGGCATGCCATTGTATGTGCTGGTCAGCACCGCCACGGCGCCGGTGGTGGGCAGGCCGCCGCTGCCGCCGCCGCCCGCAATGGCAAGGTCGAGGGAGCCCACCGTCACGGTGAACCCCGCGCCGCGAACCTTGGCCGCCAGCTGCTGTGCAAAGTCCTCGCACATGCCGCTGTTGGAGCCGAAAAGCACCTGCAGCGGTGTGCTGTGGCCCGCCGCGGCTGGCGCCGCGGCCGGTGCCGTGGTTGCGCCGTTGGCCTGCTTCTGCCCGCCCTGGGCTGTGCGCGCCGCCGCTGGCGGCTGCGCCTCGTCCGAGGGGAGGCTGGTGGCGGGCGCGCCCTCGCGCCGGCGCACGTGCAGGGACAGCTGGTAAGGCAGCGGCGAGATCGAGAGCTCCCGCTGGCTGGCCACCGCCACGTAGCCGACGGGCGTGCGGAAGTGGAAGCGCGGGAGCAGCATGGCGAGGAAGGTCTTGGCCTCCCACAGAGCAAAGAGCTGCCCAATGCAGGCGCGCACGCCAAAGCCCCCTGGAATTGCGGGTTGCGGGGAAGGGTGGCCGGCGTCGAATGGTGAGGGGAGGATTTAAATGCCATGTACTGCCCTTGCGTTTCAAAGCTCCATGAACATTAAGCTTTCGCCCACATGCAGGCCACCAGCGGACCCCAGCCCCAGCCGGTCCCTGAGCATTGTGCCAGAGCGTGAGCTCACATGGCGCATAGGCCTGGGGGTGGCGCGGCGGCAGGCCGGCCTTTTCATAGGCGCCGGGCATGAAGCGGTCAGGGTTGTACTCCAGGGGGTCCCCAAAGGGCCCGCCCCACTGGTCCTCGCGGCGGTGCAGCGCCACCAGGTTGACCGCCACACGCTGCCCGCGGCGCACCAGCCACTTCCCCTGCGCGGCGCCGCGCCCCGCGTGCATCAGAAGTGGAGCGAGGCAGTGAGCAGGAGCGATGGTGGTGATGGGCGGAGCTGAGGGAGGCGGCGCGAGCGGACGGGCACGCGCGCTGGATGCTGCGCCCCGCCGCGACTTGAAGCAGGTCAGACAGGGCCCCGCGCCTTGCGGCAGACGGGGTGCACCCGCGGTGGCGGCGCCGTCGGCGCACCTGCAGGACGGTGTCCGCGGCCGCGTCCCTGGCGGTGGCGACGGCGACGGGCTGGATGCGCAGCGCCTCCCTGAAGCAGGCCTCGACGTAGTGCAGCTTGGCGATGTGATCCACGGTCGGCTCAGCGGCGTCCCCCAGGACGTCCTGCCGCAAGCCAAGGTGGCGGGGCGCGTGCGGGGGTCGAGCTTTGGTGCAGCCTTGTGGGGTTTGAGGTTCCGGTCATATCGTTGATGAAGACTCAGCAACGGAGCCGCGTCTCAACCCGAGGCAAGGCCGTGCACCAATTGTTTTGCAGACCCAGCTGGAGAGCAGGCAACCTGATGATTGAGGAGGCGAGAATAACCAGCAGGTGGGCTCACCCTGATCTCCGCCAGAGCCTTCTCCATGCAGGTGGGGTTCTTGGCCAAGAAGTAGAGCGTCCAGCTCAGCGTGGCCGACGTGGTCTGGTGAGGGCGGTGGAGGAGGCGCGGGTGCGCAAACCCAATGTTTGAGATTGCACGCGGCAGGGAGGCGGTCTGGTGAAGCGCAGCACAGCCCGCACTGGCACCCGGAGGCCCCGCCGCCCGGGAGCCGCCGCCGCCTTGCTCGCGCCCGTTGCCGGGGGCCCCTGCGCCTCGGGGTGGTCCCCTGTATCTGTTGGGTGAGCTCCCACCCCACGCCCACCCCCGCACGCATCTCAGAACCCGAAACCCTGTTTCTGTCATCCCTCTCACCTCGTGGCCAGCCACCATGACGTTGATGAGCTGCGGGTAGAAGTTCCTGTAGCGGATGTACTCGCCGTTGGTGGCGCTCTTGTCGTGCAGCATCATGTGGATCATGCCGCCCTCACCCATCTCGCCCCTGGGTTTGAGATATGCCAATGATGCAAGTGGGAGGGCGAGAACAGTCAAACGGATGCGAAGTTCGGCCGTGCATAGTTATGTGAACAGGGCAGGCGCCCAAGCGCCCCTGATGGACCCCAACCCCCCACACCCACCTCCTGGTGCGCTCCACGAGGTCAAAGATGACCTCCTCCGTGTTGCGCCGCGCCTCTGCCACCAGCCTCATGTGCTCCGCCTTCTTGTCAACCAGGGGGTTGTAGTACTTGGCCGCGCCCTGGCGTTTTGATGGCAGGCACGCTTAAAATTGTGGCAGTCGGAAAAACTTCCTTGATTGCTCCGTTTGCACAAGCTGAACTCCTGTTGTGGCATTCAGGTTGCAGCTGCCTGTCACATACAGGCGTGCTTTAAAGCAATAGAAAGTAGCTGCCAAGCGGCTGCCTGATCATCAGCAGCTGCCATGCAGCTGCCTGCTCACCAGCTCCGCCTTCAGGTCTGGCCTCATGTTGACCCGGTTGGCGCGGCGGTATGTGCGCATGAAGAGGTGCGCCTCCTCGCCGGTCTGCAGCCGCTCAATGTTGTGCATGTCGAGGCCGATGATGCACTGTTGGGTGGGGAAGGACAATGCAATGCAGGCACAGCGAGTTTAGTTCAGGCGGGGTCAAGGAGGCCTGAGGGATGCTTGAGGCATTGTGAACAGGGGCTTGACGCCGTGCAAGATTGAAGCCACAGGTCGGTGTTGCAGGCGGGCACAGGGCAGCGACGGCTGGCAGTTGGTGGGCAGCTGCCCGCAGCAGCAGCACCTGTCCCACACCTTGACGATGGCGTCGGCTGTGAAGGCCGACATCCACTCGTGAATCCCGCCGATGAGCGCCTCCCCGCCGGCCGCCCTCTTGTCCCAGGCGTGCATGTACACGCGGCACTTGTCCAGGATGGCGGGGTAGTAGCTCTGCGGTGGTTGGTGATGGTGGTGGTGGTGGTGGGGTCAGCCGTTAGATGTGAGTGCGGCCAGGGTCAAGAGCTGAGAGGAGTTGGTTTTGGTCAAAGCCGTGGGGTGTGCATAGGCCGCGTTTATGAGAGCGAAATGTTGACGAATGCTTGCTTCCCGCTATGCTGGTGTCAAGGCTGTTGGGCACGCACGCGCATAGCGTGGCGTGGGGGCGCGCACGCACCCTGATTTTCAGGGCATTGAACGCGCGCGGCAGGATGCCGTGCGCCGTCTGCCAGTCGGGGTCGCGCGTGCCGGATGTGAACAGCCCGTTGCCCGCCATGCGCGCGACGACGTTCTGGGGCCCACGGTTCCAGCACTTTGGGAACTCCGCCTCGCGTGCGATTAGCTCTGCAATCACCTGCAGCCAGGCCGGTGGGTGGGGGGCTTGAGTAGGGGATTGTGGGGATCTTGTATATGCTTATTGTTGGGCGGGCCACTCCCAGTCGCCGCAGCATGATGTCAAGGGAACGCAAAAGGACTGTCTCAGGCGCAGATGAAGGACGACAGCTCTAGACAGGGGGCGCCGCCAAGCGCGTTGACGGGGTCCACAGCTGGCCCTTCCCTGCCCAAGACCCGCGCCAACCTAGCGCCCCTTTCCCCCTGTTCCTCCCCTGTTCCCCCCTTTTGTCCCCTTTCCTCCCCCCCCCTCACCCCGCCCACCCCCAATCAAAAGCTCACGTCAGGATCGCAGGTCATAATGGTCTCGACCAGCGCCGCCTTGTCGTCCCAGCCCTCCGGGCCCTCCGGCGCGCCCGTCTCAAAGTCGAGGTCAGTGGGCAGGCTGACGCGCACCGTGCCGCCGTTGCGCGCGAGGCCGCCATCGCCCCAGATGTTGTGGGCCAGCTGCGGGCGGGGGCGGGGCGGGGTTGGGATGGGATCACGGCTAAAGGGTAGGGGACCGGCAGCACAAACTGGCAGCAAGTGCGACGTCTCAGCGTGCGTCTGATTTGTAGGCATGTCACTCGGGAGGCATTCGCGCGGGTTTCCAGGCCGAAAGCGCACGTTGTGAACGAAGTGCTCATTCTTGCCACGCGTCAGGAGGGCATGGCCGATGACGGGCAGCTGCCAGGGTGCATAGGGCGGCTGCTGCAGCGGCGGCAGCTTGGAGACCGCGTCGCTGAGCGGCGCGCCGGTGGTGGCCACCAGCAGCACCAGCTTCTGCGCGCCGCTGGACGCTGCCTCGAGGGTCTGCGCGGCCGCGGGGTCCTCAGGGCGCAGCTCCTCTTTCGAGGATTGCAGGAATATGCTGTTTGACGGCGGTTGCAGTGGGTTGGAATGGACGCAACTGGTATTTTGGGGGACGCATTGGAGTGGAGGTGCATGCGACTTCATGGACGCCGCAACGCACTTCACGGGCTGCTTCTTTGCGTGGCCATTTACGCTGGGTGACACCTCCCGAGAAGAGGGGAACACCAGTGCTGATGTGCACCGACACATCCGCGCAAGCGACTAGGTTGGCAGGCACCACGGGGACTGCTGCCAGTGCTATGCTCACCGCGGATTGTCAACCTGGAGCTTCGCAGCGGCACTCGCCACCAGGTCAGCGATCGGGGCGCCACGCGGGTGCCTCAGCGCGCGGCCGGATGGGGGGGCTTCAGCGTCTCCCGAGTCAAGGAAGACCACGCAACTGATGTGTGCGTCCCCATAGATGGACGGCATTGCTCCGAAGAGGCCGGCCATCAGATTCCCAGCGCGGACAGAAGGGAAGTTCAGTCTAGGGCAGTGGAAGTGCACTATAAGGCCTGTTCACGGTTTCACACTGGGACAGGGGCCTGTACAGACTGGCTAACGCAGCTCAAGACTCCGGGTGACAGTGGCTGTTGTGTCCAGGGCAGGTGCTCGTGTGTGTTTGAAAGGTGTGCAACTTTTGATTTCGGCTTGCAATATATGGTAGAAGCGGACCACACTGTTATAACCTGGATGCGCCAAGAGCAGCTGCTGATCATGAATGACAAAATCGGGAACACGACAAAAACATTTTTGTCGGGTTTTCATGTCTCCCATGATCGCTGTTAACTGGTTGATGATTACGTACGTAAGGTTTTTTGCGAGCCTGGACCCTCCTTGCGGAAGTGATCTGTCACTTCTGTCCTGCTAGTGCCACGTTGCCCTTCGCAGCGTTTGCGCGCATCTCTCGCTCTCTGGACCTGGATTTAGGGAGGAATATGTGGTCTTCTAAGCCACGCTAACAGTGCTCGTGGCGAACATCTGCTGGGTTCGAACACCTCGACACCTGGTGGCGGCGCACTGCTCGGTGCTGTAGGACGGTGCGCATTGCCATCACCAGGGCAACCTTGGCCACCCCGTATCCACAGCGATGGGCAAACGCAAGAAGACTCACGAGTGAGTGCGACAACGGTGTGGCGACGTGGCAGCAGCGTGCGACGCGGCCGCAGCATGCAGCGATGCAGCTCGCCGGTTTTGGTTTGAGCCCACTTGGGAGCCCATGTCAAGGCAGCGCACGCTACACAACTGCTGCCGTGGATGAGGATTGTCTGCTTTGCAAACAGTGTGTGATCGGGCTGCAACCACAGGTTTACAGACCAGTATGGAGAGGCCCGCAGCCAAGACAGGGACGAGCACATGGGCGGCGCCGGCCGGGGCGGTGGCAGCATGCGCGGCGGCGGCAGCGCCGGCGGTGGGCGCGGCGGCGGCGTGAACGTCAACTTCCAGAGGCAGCTGCCCAAGTTCCTGCAGCCGTACGCCCACATGCTGGGCAAGCAGGGGCCCTCAGAGGATGACCCGCAAACAGAGGGCGGCCACGAGGGGGACCTGGACGGCGGCGACCCCCGGCGGCGGCGAGGGCCAGCAGACGACGACAGCGACGGCGACGACGACGGCGGCGACGAGGTGAGGGATACTATTGCCGGCGGTACCGCCCAGGATGCCACAGCACCCGCAACTGCACTACTTGCATGCAGACGCTGGTCATTGCGGCCTCAGCCTCATTGCAAGGGGCCGGAGCCTTGCGCACTCCGCCCCCGACCGTCTCATCCGCCCAAGTGCGTACTTCCCCTGCTCGCACCACGCAGGAAGCAATCCAACGGGCTCTTCAGGAAAATCCACAGCTGGCCGCTGAGCTAGGGGAGCGCGTCACGAACAAGGTGCGCCTGGAGCCGTACCCCGGCGACAGCTGCAGCACTTGCCTCAAATCTCGCTGACCGTAGCTAAGCGGTGGATAATTGATCAGGGCTGATGCTGTCGAGGGGTGGCAGTGCAGCCGCGGGCAGGCTTGCCGTTTTGCTCGTGCTGTGCAGGGCGGCATCACCCTGCGCCTGCTTCGCCCACTGACATCTGAGCCACCCGCTCCACACACCTCACCCGCAGATCCAAGCCGCGGCTGAAAAGGAGGCGGGCAACAAGGCCTTTGGCGCCAAGCAGTATGAGGCTGCTGTGTTGCACTTCACCAAGGCCGTTGAACTCGACCCCAGGTGACAAGCCTGAGTGATGATTGGGGGCCCGTTGAGGTCAGGCCTGAGTGGCAGTGTCACCGGTCCCTTTCGGCGCACTGGGCCGCGCCAGCTCAGCCGCGCACGTCAGCACGGGGCATCCTGCCGCGCGGCCTTCAACCAGCGACCACTAGCCTCCACGCGTCGATGCATGCTCCCTTTGCTGCGGCTCCCACCCACCTCCCCTCCCCCCCGCCCAAAAAACCGCCCCTTCTCCTGCACCTGCCAAACGCGATCAACCCCGCGCAGCAGCGAGGTGTATCTCTCCAACCGCTCTGCGGCGTATGCCGCCTTGGAGCGCTACCAGGCTGCCCTCGATGACGCGCGCGCCGTCACGCGCCTCAAGCCGCGCTGGGCCAAGGGCCACGCGCGCGCGGCGGCGGCGCTGATGGGGCTGCGGCGGTACGGCGAGGCGCGGGAGGCGTACGAGGCGGCGCTCAAGCTGGAGCCCGATGACCAAACGCTGCACAGGGGCAAAGACAAGGTGGGGCCCCTGGTTGCGGGCGCTCTAGACGTCTCGCGTTGTGAACTTGGCCAGTTGGCAGGGGTGTTGCACGCGCGATACGCGGCGTTTGCAGGGGCATCAAGTCATGCCGCTTCGGTCGGAGCTCGCGTCGTCCTGCCAAGAGGGTCGGGCGCTCTCCCTTGCGCCTTGTCGCGTGTACAGGCCTATGCCATGGAGCTGCAGCAGATGCGCGAGAACAAGCACACGTTTGCGTCCAAGCGACCCAAGGGTGCGGTCGGCGAGGCGGCGGGCGCGGTCGGCAGCGCCAGCAGCAAGGAGCGGGGCGGCGGCGGTGGCGACAGCGGCGGCGGCGGCGGCGGCGGCGGTGGTGGCAGCAGCGGCGGCGGCGCGTCTGCAGACGCGGGCAAGGCTCCTAACAGCCGCGGGAGCGGAGGGGCGGCTGGTGTGGGCAGCAGCGGGGCCAGTAGAGGTGGAGGAAGCGTCGGCAGGCCCATCGCAGCTGCGAAGAAAGACAAGAAGCTGCTGAGCTTTGCAGCAGATGAGGACGAGGAGGGATGACACCTGACCGCGGGACAAACGTGTAAAAATCGTTGCGCAGGAAGTGATGCCCTGTTGAAGAGCGTCGTGGCGTGCCTGCCTACTGCCAGCGTTTGAGGCGTGCGGGAAGTGGCCAAGGGCGGCAGTCGAGTAGGCGGCCCAGCTGCGAGCAGCACGGCATCTACCTAATCCCGCGTATCCATCGCACACGATGAATATCTATGTCTCATAAGATTACTGTTGTATCAGGCGGAAGAAGCCCGGCTGTTTTTCTTTGCTCGAAGGCCCTTACGGGGCAGTAGAGGCCTCTGCGAGGCATTTCAAAGAGTTGACATACAAAATGATGGACGAATTTGCAGAGGTAGGGATCGGTAGCCCCTTGCTTGAGCACGGACGTGCCGAAGACGAGCCACGACTGAGGGAGACTCCCTTGCAGGCTGCGGAAATCATCCCGGGGCGCTACTACGTGGTGGCCGTCAAAAGCTCGGAGAGCGTATCGCGCTCTGCCATCGCAGCGAGCAACATGGCGTACTGCATCGACGGCAGTCTGGTGCGCGCTGCTGGCGCGGCGGATGTGCGCGTGCGCCCAGAGAGAGGTACAGCAGCTACCCACCCGCCCCTCTGTTGGACCTCACCACGGCCAACCCCCCTTTCCTGCAATGCAGCTGTATGAGCCATTTTACGCCGACTTTGGGCCCTTGAACCTGGGGAGGACGTACCGCTTCTGCGAGATTACCTCGAGGCTGCTGCAGGTACGCCCCAGGCGTGGGGCTGGGTGGATGGACGTACCGGCAGACGCGTAGCCTTGTGAGGGTGGCGTCGAATGGTCTTGCGGGCGCGAGGTGTCAGAAACTACCATTTGCGTAGAAGCAAACGCCGCGCAGCGGACGGCTGGGTCAGCGGGTGGCAATGGAGAGCTGCCAGGCTCGAAATAATGTCCAGCGGCAACACCCGCCTCAGCTGCGTGTCTCTGCCTGAATGGCAGCCTGCCCTGCAACTGCATCTCCCGAATCGCCCCGCAGGATGCCGAGCAGCGGGGCAAGCAGCTGTACCTCTACTGCAGCGCCCAGACCCAGCAGCGCGCAAACGCAGCCGTGCTGGTGAGCGCATGGGTTTTGGACCACAAGGCTGTCCAGCACACAGACGCGCCTTGCTTCTTCCCCCGCTCACACGGCCAACCTGTCGCAGCGCAGTTCGTCTGTGCCATAACATCTTGGCTGTGGATGCAAACGCCCACCTGCTCACCCGCCTGCTTGCCCCCATGTCCCCACCTCCCAATCTCCAGGTGGGCGCCTTCCAGGTCCTGCTGCTGGGCCGCAGCGCAGAGGCGGCCTTCACCCCGCTCGCGGCGCTGAAGCCGTTTGCCCCCTTCCGGGACGCCTCGTGCGGGGCGCCCTGCTTCAACCTGCAGGTCGAGGTGAGGGGGCCTGCGCCAGACCCGCCCCAGCAGCGCTGGGCTGCCGCGGGTGGCCCCTGCAAGGCTCCGTGGATGCCAGCTTGGACGCCCCCTCCTGCATCCAACACCAGCGCTGACGTCAAGATGCGGTTATGCCACCCTAATTGGCATCCCTCCAACAAAAACATCCGCTCCTTGAACAGCACTGCCTGCGGGGCCTGGCGAAGGCGGCTGCAGCGGGCTTCCTTGACGCTCGGGGCGGGGCGTGGCGGTTTGACATTGAGGAGTATGAGCACTATGAGCAGGTGGGCGCGCCCGCATGCAGGCACGTCGCGCCAGTTGATGCCCGTGTGCGCACGGGCCGCCACAACGGCAGCAAGGGTACGTAGCGCACCCGCAGCGCACCCCCAGCACGCGTCGCGTTTGTGCCATCGTGAAGTCTGTTGACTTGGTCAACCTGCCGCAGGTGGAGAATGGGGACCTGAATTGGATCGTCCCAGGGAAGCTGGCGGCCTTCAGCGGCCCCGCGGCCAGCCCCAACGCGTACGTGGGCTTCAGGGCGATGGTGCCAGAGGACTACTGGGACTACTACCGCCGCCGCAGGGTCACGGCGGTCGTGCGGCTCAACAAGAAGGTGAGGGGCTGGAGATGCTAATGCCTCAGACCGGCTGGCGCTTGAATTGGGTGTGGCTTAGGAGGGGAAAGGTGCCGCATGATGTAGCTTATCGTGTGTAGCGTGCCCTGCCCCACTTGATGGCCCCGACAACAGGTGCTTGTGGCCCGCCTGCTTGTCCTGCATCAGCGCCGCCTGCGTGCACCACCCCACAGCCCTCAAGGCTTGTGCCCCTGCTGCCGGTCGTGCCGCTCCTCGCAGGTGTACGACCGCCGCCGCTTCACCGACGGCGGGCTGCGGCACCACGAGCTGTACTTCCCGGACGGCTCCTGCCCCCCCACAGAGTTGTTGCTGCGGTTCCTCGACCTGGCGGAGCAGGTGGGTGGCATGGCTTGCACACACCCTGGGTCGCTCGCCATGCCTCGCGTCTCGCCTCGGGCCGCCGTGCGGCTGCCTGTGCCCCGACCAGGCGCGGAGTCGGGGCCTGCTGCGCTGTCTGTTCGGCTGCGGCCTCGCTCTGAAGGACGCCCGCCGCCGCCGCGCCCTCCGCTGGGACGTGTGCGCTAGGAGCCGGGCGCGCTGGCCATCCACTGCAAGGCGGGCCTCGGCCGCACTGGGGTGCTGATCTGCAGCTACATAATGAAGCACTACGGGTGCGGCCATGAAGCGCTGATGGGGCGGGCGCCGTTTGACTGGTGTTTGTCATTCGACACGCATGTGCACAATTGGAATGTGGGGACGTGGCGGTCTGCGCAATCCACAAGCCGTGGCGCCACAGAATGTGCGGCAGGGCGCCTGTGTGAACAAATGGGTGCACTGCCAAACCATGCGCATGACCATCGAGGCATCCTCTTGTTTCCTGCGGCGTATTCTTGCCGACAAGCGTCCGCGCCACCCTCTCCCACCTTGAGTCCCTCAGCTTCACCGCTGAGGAGGTGATTGGTTACATCAGGATCTGCCGGCCAGGATCGGTCATCGGCCCCCAGCAGAACTACCTGCAGCAGATGCAGGCAATCATGTGGAGGGAGGGCGACGCGTGGCGCGCCACGCACGGCCCCGCGCCGCCGCCCCTGGCGTGGGGCCCCGCCGCGCCCAGCCGCGCGGGCTCCATGCGGACGCTGGCTGCCGGCCCCACGGCAGGGGGCCCGGCGGAGAAGCCGCAGCAGGCGGCGCAGCAGGCGGCGCGCCCGTTCAGCTTGGCTGTGGACGCCACCGGCGATGCCTTCCTCAGCAGGCAAACCAGCAGCGGCGGCGGCGCGGCGCGCGGAGCGAATGGCGGCAGCAGCGGCGGCGGCGGCGGCACAGCGGCGCGGGCGCCAAGCGCCTCGGCCTCAATCATCGCAGGCACCGGCGGCAGCAGGGCCGGGCTGGGCAGGGCGCCCAGCGACCTATCCCTGATGCAGTATGCTCAGGAGCACACCCTGCAGCAGGCCCAGCAGCCCGCGGCTGCCGCGACCTTGTATGGAGGCGTTGCCGGCAACCGCAGCAGCGGTGGCGCCGCCAGGTGCAGCAGCAGCAGCAACATTGCAGCAGTCGCGGCGGCGTACCTCGGGCCGGGCAGCAGCCACGGCCCCTCGTCGGCGGCGGCGCGGCCGTCGGCCTCCCAGAGCCGCGGGCGCGCGTCGACGCCGCAGTGCGCCTCCCTGCCCAGCGGCGGCGGCGCGTCCGGCGGCGGCGGCAACCCGTTCACCAGCCTCTTCAGCGTGCTTGGCGCGTCGGCGCACGGCCAGCTGGCGTCGGCGCTTTCCTTCGGCCGGCCTGCGACCCAGGCCGCGGCCGCCGCGCGCGCGGCCGTGCCCGGGGCGGCCTCCTTGGCGGCGCCCTCCTCCCGCGGCCGCGCGCCGTCGGCGCCGCGCGAGCGCACGGCGGGCGGCCCGCGGGCGCAGGGGCAGGCGGAGACGGCGGCGGCGGGGGCGCGGGCCAAGGGCGGCCTGCCTGACGGGCACCTGGGGCAGAGCGCTGACATGTTCTCTAGCGCGTGGCGCACATCCATCAGCAGCGGAGCGGCATCCCAGGCCGCGGCAGGTGACATTCGCACGCGCCTGTTTCATAAACAGCAGCTGGGGCGGGAGCACGGTTTTTTCCTGATGCCATAGAGTGGAAGGCCTGGAGTGCAAGGCCTACCCGCAATCGTTGTGTTAGGTGGCCGTGCCGTTGACCGACCCCCACCACCGCGGCGATTTTACCCAACACGAAACCCGCAGGTGCGCTTTACGGCAGCCGGCCCCAGTCCAACATCGTCCGCGTGCTGGCGCCCAACGGGCAGCCCCGCAAGGTGCCGGCGGCTATGCTGCAGCAGGGCGTCGCCGGCGGCAGCGGCGGCAGTGGCTCGGCAACCGGAGCGCCCTCCAGGGGTCCTGGGTCACTGATGTCATCCTCGCTGAACGGACGCAACGGCAGCTACTACTGATCTTTGCGCAAGCCTGGCCGCCGTTTACTTGTTTAAGCCCAAATAAACCTATCTACGGGCGCGAGCGTGGCCGGGAGCCCAACGGTCACGAACCCCAACAACAACAACAGCCAGCGGCGAGCGGCGGCAGCTTGCGGCAGCAGCAGAACTAGGCGCAGCCGGCCGGACGTGTCGCAATCCAATGCGAGCTTTCTCTTGTGTAGTGGTGCGGGGCCTGTGCCCCGCGTCCAGCCGCTCTGGAGGGAGCCAGCTTGCGCGGCGGCGCAGGGCATGAGGTGCACAGCCGCATTGTCACCCTTGCGCAGCCCGAGTTTCATTGGCGGCGCGGCGAGCCCCCCGCGCGATATACAGCCTGTGCCTGGTTTTGCCCTGAAAGGCGCGTGTGCAGCCACACGCCGTATATATGCGCCGTATTCGGCCACAGGATGGTCTTGGTATGCCTGTCCTGAAGCAGCCCTTTGTGCTTTTGAGTGACCCGTTCCTGTGAGCATCTCCCCGTGCATTCGGACTGGGGCGCGTTCGGTCCCCCCCATCTGGCCGGCTGCTGCCCGGCACTGTTCATACGACCGCGCCGTTGACCGCACGTGAGGTCGAGGTGCCATGCACTCATGGCTCGTGGCGACCACATGGGCAGTAACCCGTACGAGCGTCATCATCCTTCTCCTTTGGGCCAGCGGCAGAGGCTGGCTCGCAGCACGCAAAGCACTGCGTACGAAGAGCCCGCAGCAATTTTTTTAAGCATACGAGCAACGGCGAGCGAGCGTGTCGTCATGCGTACCATCGAATGGCGTTCAGGCAACTTCCCAGGGCTTCTAAGATGAAGATGACTCAACGTCTCCTCTGCTCACGCGTGGCGCCTGCCTTGGGTTGATGTTTCACAAAGGATCCGTGGTGCTGCGACGTTTCGTCAATGGGGTTGGCGTGTCACACCTTTTTCTTGCCTTCATTCGCTCAACGCGAACACACCCACAACCCTTCCGTTTCGTATTCGACCATATCCCGAACGGCTTGATTTCGGGGCCGCGTGTCTGTGATTCCCATCCTCTTAGCCTCTTATCGTAACCGTCTCGACTTGGTGCAAGCATGGGACGAGAGATCACAGTCGCAGTGGCTGGAGCCGCGACTGCGGCCCTTGCCGTGGTCGCATACAAGCATTTGACATCGTATGATGTCACCGAGAGTGACGCGGGAGCTCCCGCGCAGGCCTACCTACAGCTGCTGGTCTTTGTAGATTCGCCGGGCAATGCGCCCAAGGGCAAGGTCCTTCGTTGGCCCAGGCGGGGACCAGTCAGCGACCTGATTGCGGCAGTGGGGGCGCTGCTGGGCCTGGAGACACCGCGGTGAGCACCCGGCACCCAACAACCGAACGACCCGACCGATGCAGCCAGGCGGCATCGCGCGGGCGCGCTTACGCGACGCCCCCTGTACATGTACACGCGTCCTGCTCGGGTCGAACAAGTCCTGCACAAGTCACAACATGAGCACGTTCATCCGCCACCCGCGTGTGGCCAGCCACCTGCTGATCCCCCACGCACGTCCACCTTGCGTGCACACCCTCACCCCCACCCCCGCGGCGCCCCGATGCGCAGCGTCTTCCTTGAGTCGACGCGCGAGGAGCTGCTGCCCACCCTGGACTCCCTGGACGCCCTCGACGCCGCCTCCGGCTGCGCGCAGCGCCTCGTGCTGCTCATCGCCACCGCCGGCGCGGCGCTCAGCGACGCGGCCGCCAAGCTGCCGCCGCTGCAGCAGCCGCCCCGCGGCCCGCGGCCGCTGCCGGGCCTCGGCAACGCGCTCTGCTTCAAGGGCCCCTATGAGGTCCCCATGTACAACGCGTGGCACAACCTGTTCGCGCCGGGCAAGCAGGAGGTGTGGGGCGACACGGTGCGGCTCGTGCTGCCAGAGGCGTTCTCCACGAGCGGCGACAGCGAGGGCGCCGGCGGGTGGGACGACGAGCTGGCGCTGATCGAGACGGTCGTAACTACGGATCCCGAGGTGAGCGTGCTGTCGTGCTTGCCTGTGCGGGGCGCGGGCGCTTGCCCGGCGGGCCTGCTGCGTGTCGCAGGGCGACTGGGGCGCCCAGGTCTGCGGGCGCAGCAGGGGCGGCTGACCCGATCACGAGCGCAGCAGCTGTTGCAATTATTTCGGAGCCAATGCCTTTGGATGATTGTAAGCCTAAATTTGCACATCACACACAACACACACACATACACACACACGCGCGCGCACACGCACACACACACGCACACACGCGTCAGACGAATCTCATGCGCGGCCGCGCCCCATCTCACCCCGCAGGTGGTGGCTGAGCTGCTGGCTCGCCAGGACGACTTCCCAAAGGTACCCCCTGCCCCCCTGCGCAACCCTCTGATCTGCAACAATCGCACGCATCCCACACTCCACCGCACCGCCCTCGCCGCCTCTTGCCGCCCAGGCGCCCGTCC